CCAGCACTTAACTTTGTTCATGACCTGCAACCTGAACCAGTCTGTGCTGCTTCCCAATCTGTGGACATACTCATCCCTTGAACTCACCCATATTGCTTCACTTATATGGATCTCTGGCTTCCCTCCTCTACTACAATTCATACTTGGTTCTCAGATCATGTACTTCCTGGACATTCTAGTAGACACCTGATCCAGTAAACACTCCCAGCATGCCCCAAAGGTACCTACAGCATAGGCCCAAGGATCTTAGATCCAACTAAGCCACACAGAGAGAGGGAGATGAGCCCTTTTTCAAAAGAACATCCAGTGATCTCAGAGTGAGACCCATGCCAAAGGCTATCATTTTAAATAGCTCTTTCTTCCAAAGTTTATTTGAAGGAGGCGCTCTGAGGAAAGCTCATTTCCTTAAAACATCAAAGAACTAAAAACCAAAAGATGATAGATTTTTCTGGAGACAGACTTCGAAGTGTATAAATAAAATTCTGCAAAGTGTACAAATAAATACTACAAAGAGTTCATTTCTGCTACAGTTGTCCACCATTCTCAATATTACATTTAGCTAACTTAATTTTCCATGGATAAAATTTATTCAAAGTTAAATTTCACTTAATAGGTCATCTGAGTAAACCGTCTCAAGTGTTATTTGCCAAAAAAACAGTATGTTTCCAGGCTCTAAATGAAATCGGCAGTGTCAGGCTAAGAAAACAACCTTAAAAATTCACAGAGGACTGGAACAATTGCAGAAAAATTGGAGCCCAGAGCTTTGTCTTTTTCATGCAGTTCTGGAGGCACAAAAAATTACCAATTTCCACCAAAACCATGTCTTGGAGGGGCAAGGAAAAATGCCATTTTAAAAAAATCCAAAATACTGCAAAACAACATATCTTTAAAGTGGCAGCTGCCATATGAAGAATGTGTCATCTTTGTATTACCACACCAACCAAAGACAACACTGACATTATACTAAGCACCCTGCATCCTGATCGTCCCCTGGGCGGTTACTCTGGGCACCTAGTTTTCAGAAGAAGGCAAAGAGGGAGATGGGGGATGGGGCAGGGGAGGGGTAGAGGAGAAGAGGAAAGGGGAGAGAGGGTCGAAGGAGGGGGCAAGGTATGACATGGAGTTTTGCAAATGCAAAGAAGTTATTCAGGAAAACGGAGCAGGGCAACTTGGGGTGGATGTCTTCATGAATCTCTCTTCTTGCAATGTTGTGGAACTACTGGATTTGTAAAGTGGAAGAAGTAGAAAGGATAAATTAGTTGCAAGCCTATTTCACAGATGAGGAAATTGACACCTGAAAAGCAAAGCAAGCCCCTATCCTGAACAGATAGTACACCCAGGATGGAGATCATTCCATCTCCAGGCTCTGAATATACTTACTCTAATGGCACCTAAAGCCACGGGTTCCTAGAACACAGTCTGAGAAGCCCAGTGACATGATGAGTAGCAATAGGTGTACCTTATGACAAGAACCAAATTAATTCTTGCCTACAACACTGACACCATTATTCACATGGTCATGGGCCATGCTGACATCCCAAATGCTCAGGTCCCCTAGTAAATAATCACTACTCTGAGCACAGAGGGAAGCCTGATGCATCATCTTTGGAAGTACACTCTTGTTCTGCTGACATCATCACAAAGTGGAAGGGAAGCCAGTCCAGAAACCACATGGCTTCCTTCCGATCCTCTACACTGAAGACTTTTGAGAGCAGACACTACTGCATTCAACCAGTACAAGCAATATTCATTGCCTCCAGGGCCCTCTGACCTCTTAAGGAAACCTGGGCGACTAGGCCTTGGCTCAGTCCAGCTCAGTCCTGCCCTCCCACAGTAAGTTAGAGGTAGAGAATATGAATACTACTGAATTTAAATTCCAAATCTGATGTTATGAGTGCTGTTGCTCTCAACACTTTTGCATAAAATATCTGTTCTATGAAAACTGAGAAGCAGACTTCCAACAGCATTCTGGAAAGAGCACCAAGTCTACTAGGGGTCACCTGTGTCTGTGTTCACATTTTGACCACGTTCTTGTAGAAAGAGAGCATTCCTCAGAGGTGATGTGCTTATTACCATAGCAAGATCCTTCAAGCTTTTATGTACTAGAAAATAGTGCCTGAACCTCTCAGCCCAACTTCCTGATGGGTTAGACCTGGGCCACCTGAGGATGTGGCCTGTTGACAGAACAAGATGAACTGAATGTGCCCATTCCTATGAGGAGGGGTTGGAAAAGGTAGTTCTATGACCCACCTGTAATGGAGGGATGGCTGCCCCCAACAGCCAGCAATTCATGAGGGAGCTCCTACTACAGAACTTCCACACACAGGGCACTAAGCTGGTCATACTTCGTGACTTCATTACCAATTCTCACAGCAGTCATGAAAAGTCAGAATGATTACCTCAATTTCTCACAGAAGGAGAGAGAGGCTCAGAAAGCCTATTTTGCCCAAAGCCCACAGCTTCTAAGCTGGGATTCAAATCCAGGGGAGGGTGATTTCAAAACCCAGGAAGAGATGGGGCTCTCAAATCTACATGTCTACCTTATATCCTTGAGGTGCTTGCAATTAAGCTGGAAAGATGGCAGATGGAAGCTCTAGACCTGCCCATCCAATAGAACTTTGTGTGATGATAGAAATGGTCTATGATCTCCAATATGGTAGCCATGAGCCATACACAGCTATTAGGTGTTTGACATGTATCTAGTGCAGTTGAGAATCTGAATTTTTAATGTATTTAATTTGACTTAATTTGAATTTAAGTCACCACTGAGTGTCCATATTGGACAGCACAGTTAGAGACATTTTGTACCAAAAACATTTAGCAAAAAGAATGGTCACAGCAGCCTGGGATGGTCAAGGCAGGTCTGGTGAAGAACAGAGACTCCAGGCAGGCCCTTGCTGTGTCAGGACTTAAAAAAGACCCCTCCTGTTTCAGGCATGATCACCTTCCTTGTGGTCTTTGGCTCTGAGGTCCGGGCCCCAGAAATCATGCCCAATGCCCATAGCCCCCAAATGAAGACACTGAGAATGTTACTTCTGAGTCTTTATTCTTTCTGGACTAGCTCTAAGCATTATGAGCTCTAGTTCTCCTCCTGCTACTCTCTAGAAGCCCTTCCTCCTCTTTCCCCCTGTGCCTTCCCTGTCAACACCAAAAACCTGGACATCTTTCTTTCTACCAGGGGGCTGAGTCATTTCCTCTCTTAAAATGGTTTTAATGTGCTTTATTCTTCTACACCCATCATTCTGAAAAAGATGTTTCTTGATACAATGAGCAATGCCACTCACAGAGACAGCACCACCTCCCCCAACATACATCTCTCAACAGGGATCAGAAGCCCCTTCCATCACCATTGGCCCTGAGCGTGGTGGCTGACCTCAACCTGAAGCCAGTCACTGTACTGCGAGTGACTCCATTCTTTCCCATACCAAAGGTATACCAAAGGTGCCAACTGGCCTCCTAGTCTAGTCTTTCTAGTATTTCTAGTTTTCTGTATTTCTAGTATTTCTAGTCTTCTGACATCTCGCTCACCACCTGCCTCTTAGTTACCGGAAGACACTGAAAAATATTTGGCTACATGACCAGATTAGCAACCAAGGCTCTTGCTGCATCTTTCTACAAAAGGCTCTGTTGGCTCAGTGCGGCACTCAAACCCATCACATCCATTTTTGCTTCTAGCTCAAGGAGCAGCCATGTGCTTCACTAACCTTCAAGGGTATTCCTTCAGAGCATTTAGTAATAGCCACAGTAACCCCTGAATTCTCCAGCTTGAGGAATATAGATGATGTAGCATTGTGGGTTGTTGTGGGTTTGGGATGGGGGGATTGCTGGTAATTGATTTTTAATTCTTTCCAGTTCTGCCTAGGAATGGACTATTAAAACTCTCAGTATGGTGGTGAAGGACACCTCTATCAAAAAAAAGGCAGATGCACAACTTCACAGAGCACCTTCTGTTTTCAAAGGTCTAAGGTTCTTTGGACTGCAATGAAGACTGTTTATATCTTTGCAGTGTGACACTAAAAATGAGACTGGCCTTTGGATGTGGGATCAACACATGGTTGAGCTCCTGACCCCTCAGAAGGGGCACGCATAAGGCCCAAGTTCCCACCATCCATGGAAGGGAGGTCCCAGAGAGCCAAACAACCCAAGTCAGGATTGGCAAAGTAGAGCACAGGCCTAATACCTCTCAATGCCTGTTCTGTATGGTCTGTGAGCTAAGAATGGTTTTTAAATGTGTAAAGGATTATAAAAGGATATTTTAAAAAAAATAGAAACTATAGCCATAGCATATGGGCGGCAATGGCTAAAATATTTCCTGTCTGGCCATTTGTGAGACAAACTTGCTGACCCCTGGTTGAAACTAGCAAGGCTCTCAACCATCCAGAGGGTGCTTGCCTTTTCTGAGATTTGGTGGGCTGGGTTCTGATGATTCCAAGTCCCCTTCATTCCCTTTATGTTTGCTTTCCTTTCAAGATCAATATATTGGAGATAAAATGTTCCATAGCCTTCTGAGGAAAGACACAACAGATATCAAATATGATCACTGGTAAATGAATATTCACTTCTCTCAAAAAGACCAACAACACAGTTAAGGATATGGTTCCACCCCCTGTTTCTTTACTGTGACAGAAACAAGGCTCCTGCTTAAAAACCACCCAGAGAGGATTCCAGGGATCAAAGCAAAGATGACCTGAGAACATCCTCACCCATCCTGCTCCCAACTCAGTTTCCCACTTGAGAGCACCAGCCCCCACATTCAATATCAGCACAGAATCATGAGGGTCTCTGACTTTGACTTACCTCTCACCCACACCCTAGAAAAAGAATGCAGAGGTAGAATCACACCCAGAATGTCCCCTTTCAGTTTCTTAGACACCTGCCCTAAATGTCCCTAAGATCTCTCTGGGTTAGAACTCAAAGGGAAAAGATGGCGTCCAGCTCTTCCTTAGTCATAACCAGAGAAAATGGCAGCCACTGCCCACAACAGCAGCTGTAACTGTTACCTGGTTCAGTGCAGTTCTTGCTGCTCCGGAGTCCTGTATCTTCTGAAGTCAGAGTGTCATTCACCTGCATTAACTTCCTCCCCACCGTCCACTGTCGGTCTTCCCCTAGGAGGTCCATGAAGTCGAGGTCTAGAGAGACAAAGAGCATAACCACACATCACTAACAGCTCGGTTTTGGCCTTTCCCAATGCTGAATGTCCAGGACCTCCATCAACCACCATTTGCTCAGTGGTGAGCCTATTCCTCCCACCTTGGGTCTTATCATTATGCTCCATTCACACAGCTGCTGACTGCCTGCTGGCTTCCTTGGGCTGCTGGATCCTGCTGGGCCTGACAGAGGCCGCCCTCAGCCACTGACTGGGAGGGACTGGTGTATTACTACCTCACCTACTCCAGTGGGATGACTTTGAGACGCGTATTCTAAACTGAATTATGGAATCTTCTCCACTGGGATTATGCTCCAGTTGTCTACAGCGTAATGCTCCTGATAAAACATAATATATATATTTTTAAAGATTTTATTTATTTATTTGACAGAGAGAGATCACAAGTAGACAGAGAAGCAGGCAGAGAGAGAGAGAGAGAGAGGGAAGCAGGCTCCCTGCTGAGCAGAGAGCCCGATGTGGGACTCGATCCCAGGACCCTGAGATCATGACCTGAGCCGAAGGCAGCGGCTTAACCCACTGAGCCACCCAGGCACCCTAAAACATAATATATTAATTGCTGTCCTTCTCTGCCTTAATTCCTCACTCCCAGTAACACACTGATATATGTTTTAACAACCAACACTCTCTGGAGGGGGTTGGGCAGGGGGAGTCCTGGTTTGGAGCCACTGGCCTATTTCCATAGTGTAAATATTCTCATCATGGCAAAGTTCAACATGACCCACGTTGACCTCACCGACATGGATTTTGGAAGAGATGGGTACAATTAGGTCCATGAAGTCAGTGTGACTGTTTTGAGCCCACCAGCATCTACTCCTCCCAAATAACCTCTCACAACTGAACATTTTCTCAGGAACTGCTTCTGGAGGATTCCCCAAGCTAGGACACCACTTCAATATCCCCAGAGTCTGGGCCAGTAAACGCTGCATATCAAGACTTCCACAAACAAGAGATGAAAGCACAAATGTGAAAACACTGAACCACTGAATGCAATATAGGAGGAGCAGGTTAACAGTGGTGACGTCTCCAGCTGAGAGGACTGTAGGGACTGACGTGCCAGGAGAAAGAACAAAGATGAAGGGCACATCAGAGGGGAGAAAGGAGCACGTAACCATAAAGGACTTGTTGACTTTGAAGTGTTGCGGAGCACGGAAAGGGTGGTAAGCTGCCTGTGAGCACAGGGGATGGAGATACCTTAGGGGAGGGAGCTAACAGACAGCATCAAGAAGGTCATAAGCAAATAGGGAAAAGTATGAGACATGATGCATGGGGTCTTCTGGGAGGGGAGTAAAGAGAAGAGAAGAGGTCATGGGGAACTCAATATTCCGTCAGAGAATGGATCATGAAAGGAAAGGAAAGAGGACAGGTAATAGCATAAGGCAAGGTCAGCAGAAAGGGAATTTCAGGAGTGGCCAACAGTCTTGACCTACAGACAAGTCAAGTAAGACAAAGGCTAAGAAATAACAGAGCTGGACCTCAGAGAGCCACTGGGTGGTGGAAACAGCAAGCAAAGATGGTCTTCCTAGTGGCTTAGCACTAAAGAAAGATGTGGCATGAAGCAAGGGACACCCTTGAGTGTCCAGAAGTGTGGTGGGCAGAAAATGGATCTAAGTACAAGATAAAGGTCTAATTCATGGGCCAAGTGACCTTTACAGAAGGCCAGAGGGAGCACTCCATCCAGCCACATCAGTGTGATGTTCTGAAGAGCTAAAGGTCATCATACCCATTCCTCTATTTCCATGGTAATTTTAGTTTCCCAGATGATTCCACCTTCATTGTTGAATTTGAACCTCATGACTCTGGTTGGGAAAGCAAGAGGGAGCAGGGATGTTGTCCACTTTGTCCACTATTGTCTCTCTAACACCGAATCACTCCTGGCTCAGAGGATGTGCTCAGTAAGTATGGGTTGAAAAAACTATTCCCATTTTGGTGATGGACAAAGTAAGACTTGCAGAAGTTTCTAGAAATCAGAGTGCTTATAGACATCTCACCTAAGCCACAGGACACATGTAAGGGCAGCAGCTCATGCACCGAGGTCTTTCTCAGTCAAATGGAATCTGCTCTCAGATATAAAATCATCAAGGTATTTCATTATAACTTACACATATTAGCCAGAACAGCTATTTTAGACATCTCTCTCTCTCTCTCTTTCTCTCCCTCTCTCTCTCTCTCTCTCTCACACACACACACACACACACAAATGTAGAATGTGGAGCCTAACGAGAATTAACAATCAGTTTAGATTCTGAAATGCAAAAGCCCACGTGGTGGCCACAGACATCAGTGTAGTCGTAACTAACAGAACAGTGCCAGAGATAATTCAAGGTGAAAGCAAGGCATTGGCGTCATCTGTTTAACCTCCACAGTTAATTCTTAGGATTAAGAACGGTGACAAGCAGAGAAAATAACCTCAAAAGCTCATGAAGAAACAATAAGGTCAGTGGCCTGAAAATCCAACAAGCAGCCCTGAAATGTGAATTTAGCACCTTATTGTCACAAACGATCTGCAAGTGTGCAGAAAGACAGCACATTTGTCTCAGGCTGGATTTCCACAGCGGCCCTGGAAATGAGGATCTGAACACGGGTTTTTCCTACGGGGGTGGGGGTGACCCCAGGAAGTACCTGTAAGGGAACAGGACCATGGGGTGGGGAAGGGGAGACAGCCAACAGATGATACACTTCAAGCTAGTCACCAGAATGAGTCAACTAGAGCTTGGCTTCCCTGGAAAGCTCTGGGGGTCGGAGTAGACAGGTAGCTCAGATACTCAGGGGTGAGCAAGCTTACATACGTATCTACCTATTCCTGGTCTGCCATTGGTTGAAAGCTATTTCCAGGGGGCATGAATTCCCTGGCACCTTGAACTTGGTACATGGGAGTCCAAGGTGGGCTCTAGTGCCCAGGCAAAGGCCTTAGACAATGAAATGCAGATGCTAAGACTTAAACAGTACCAGTGAGCACTGAAGAGGCAAGAATGAAGGGATATGGGCAGGGCACCGATTGCATTTCCCAGCCTGCATAAGATCCAAAGGCAGAGGTGTCCTCCAGATCAACAGACTGGCCACTCTGCTGTTCTCACAATCGGGGTCAGAGAAAAGTGCTTTGTGGTACCACAATCCGAATGCTTAGGGAGACTCCAAAGATTTGCAGAGAAGCAAGTGTCCCTTCCAATGACTTCCAAAGTTCTTTCTCAGGCCAAGTTTCCATGGTTCTGTAATTCTGAAAGAAAAGCTGATACCAATTAAGAGATGTAAAAATAAAGCCAGCTATTGTAGCAGAAAATTAGAGGATTTTTTTTTTACATAATGATTCAATATCTTCAGGCATTAGAGACTATTAAGGCAGCACCTCTGGATTCCAAAACCTACAAATTTTTATCTCAACAAAAATATAGTTGACCACTAACCACTGAACTACTAATGCGGAGACCAGAGTCTGAGAAAATCAGAGTGATGACAGCAAGTACTGCATTCACTTCCTTCCCTGCTGAGAACCAAGTGTAACACTATTATACCCCATTCCATTTGTTCTCACAAAATCCGGGTGAGGTAGGCAGGGGAGCTGGGTCAACCTACCTCTGAAGTAAAAAAGTCAGGGTAGAAGAGATTTGCCTAAAATCAGAGCCAATCCATAGCCAGCCACCCCAACTACCATTTAATAGCTACTATGGCTTCCATTTACTGAGTGTCTATTATGTGCGAAGAACTTTCCATTCCATCCATGTTTCATTTTACAGCAGTCTTATTTTGAACCATTAGCCCCATTTGCAAATAAGCAAACCAAAGTGTGAAGAAGTTCAAAGACTCACCCAAGGTCACACAGCAAGCAATGAGGGGCAGAATGGGGATCCGAACCCAGGCCTGGTGACCCAAGGGCCACATTCATGGTAGATCCCTGGGGAGGATGCAGTCCATCTGGCTGCATTATTCAGGTACAGTGAGGCAGATCAGCAACGCAGCCTGAACCTTTTAATAGGTTAGGGGTGAACACAGGCTCCCTAAACCTACTTCCAGGAAGTTCGTTTCCTCGGAAACCATCAGGAACAGTGGTGAGGCATACGCCACATAAAGCCGTCACAAACAGAAAAGAAAATGGTTCCAAAAACCCCAGTGAATGCATGGCACTCCACTTAGTAAGATGGTCCCATGGGTCATGACTTGGAGGGCTCTTTGGGGGCGGGAGGTCGAGGGGGGGCCGTGGGGAAGGCAGAGGGGACTGGAAGAGGCACCCACTTGGGTCTCTCCCCGCTCTCCCTTCATGCATCTCCGGCTTCCTTGGACTTCTCTGCCCCAGCAGACGCCGATCCACAGAGCTGCACTTGAGCAATGTCAACAAAAACATTTGGCGCCTGTCCACCGCATTCTTGGCTCCTCATCTGCCAGGCCCTGGAAGTCGCATGTTGGCCTAATTAGTCCGGAGGGAGGGGGTGCATGAGGAGGGAGGCAGGAGGCTCCCAGGTCCTGTGTCACCGGTGGAGGCAGCGTGGATGACTGCAGGCTCTGAGAAGGAGGGATGGGGTGGGCCACGGGGAGCGTGCGGGGTGCCTGCTGAAAGGGGAAGACATTCTCAAGCCGAGACTCAAGCCGCATGCACTGAGGAAGGGAAGAAGTAGAGGCTGGATGCCAAGTTTCCATTACAGAGCTGTGTGCTCACCCTCTCCTGCTCTTACCACCCCCTTCGGCCTTTCTCTCTCTCTCTCTCACTTGCTTGCTTGCTCTCTTTCTTCCCCCCACCCCTTTTTACTCCCTGGGACTGAGGGTTAGAGAACCCAAAGTTTTCTGACACCAAGAATGGATTTATTTGGGTACCCTAGATCTCAGCCTTCTGAAAATGAACACGCTTTCTCCCGCACGTATACTTGTCTCACAGGGTTTCCGTCCTTCCCAAATACTAGCCCCAGGCCCCTCAGGGAGGCAGGGCTGTCCACTCTCTGAGTAGGTGACTCCCACAGACACACAGGCAGGCAC